CCGGTCCGTCCCGGTCCGTCCCGTCCGTGCGCTCGCCCTGCCTCGGGCGGGTAGGCGGGCGGGCCGGAGATGACTTCCGCGGCTCGGCCGCTCGCTCGCCCGGCCCGCCTGCTCGCTGCCTTTGCCCGCCGCCCGGCCCGCGCCCGCGCCCCTCCCCGCTGCAGGCGGCGGGAAACGGCGCGCCAAGGCAGAGCTCGCTGCAGCGGGGAGGGGCGCGCGGGCGGGCGGGCGGGCGGGAGGCCGGCCGCGATCTCCCGTCCTGGGGGAGCACGCCCCAGCCGGCCCCCTCCCCTCCACGGGGGCGAGCCCCCGTGCCCAACTTTGTTGGCTGTTTTTGCTGCACGTGGTGTCCAGCCGAGAGTGCCCTCCGTTTTCTCGCTCTCGGGGCAGGCAGAGCCAAGCAGGCAGGGGGCCCCAATCTCCGAGGGGCTTCCTTGTGCCCTTGGCTGCTGGGTTTGCCCTGAGGGGCTGCATGGCTGAGCCGGGGCATCTTTTCCCGCTCTGTGTGCCCCTTGCGTGGATCATGTTCTCAAAGGTGAACAAGAGGGGCAAAGGGGTGCACTTGCAGGAGGGCCGGAGCTGGACGAGTCGGGCCCCACAAGGCCCGCTGTGGCCCCAGTTCTGCTCGCCTGGTCCCTGGGGCCGTGTGCGCGCACGTGCGTGTGCTCCATCGCGGGTGTGCTCCGTGCAGAGCGGTGACCGGGACAGGGCGAGCCTTGAGAGCCGGTCCCCGGCCGCCCCACCGGGCCGGGCCCGGGCGGCCCTTCAGGCGGGCCCCACCCTCTCGTGCGGCCCTTTTTCCCTTTGAGCAGATGTGCGTGATGGGGCACTTCCCGTCGGAGGGCTCCCAGCGGCTCCCCTTGATGGATTCTCCACGTGAAAAGGGATGGAAACCGCGGGGAAGCGCAGGGGGGCCGCGCGTGGAAGCGGTGGCGGCTGGGCTGTGCGTCGCTCCGAGAACGGGCCGGGGCGATGGTGCGGTGGGGGTGCTCGCCGGTGTGCCTGGACGCACGGCCTGGACACCGCGTGGCATTCGAAGGCAGGAGGGCAGGCCCCGGGCCCCGAAAAGGCCACGCGCAGCCTGCCCGGAGCAGCTCTGGGCGCTGGGCAGGACCCAGCCGAGGGCTCCCTGCTCGCACCCCCTGGCAAGACTCCCCGCAGGCAGCAGGTGCTCCGCCAGCCGGCACTTGACCGCCTGCTTGTGCCACACCCGAAGCGGAAGTGCAAGCATGCTGCACGTGTGTGTGTGAAGCACGCAGCGAGGCGCGTTTGCTGAGCGAGCTGTGGGGGCACGTCCTCCTCCCGCCTTCCTCTTGCGTTTGGCCGTTTTCCTAGTGGGGATGCGTTGTGCGTCTCCGCGGCACTTAGAGCCCGCCGGGCCGGCAGGCAGACTTTGCGGCAGACGGTCCGAGGGGCCGGCTGAGTCAGAGGCAAGCAGGCTGGGTCCCCGCGGCAGCTTGTGCGGCAAAATGGGCTTCGGGAGGCAAAACGGCACGGCAGAAATACCCTTGCCGTCAAATAACATCTCTGAAACGAGCAGCCTATTTCCTCTGAACGCTCGGCATCTATTTCATCGATCGAATCATCCTCCCCGCCTTTTGCTTTCCCAAACCTTACTGATTTCTTGTAGATGGATATCTAAACTGAAACAGATGCAAACTAGAATTAAACGCGGTCCCAGGCCAGCCCTCCCTTCCCCTCCATGCATGAGAAATGCCTGTAATTTGTGTCTTTTAATACTTCTATCAGTGTAACAAATTGTAGCTAAAATCATTAAGTGTGAAATTGCCAATTCATCCCGCAGGAATAAGGCCTTTAGCCGAAGTCTCGCCACTTGGGAGCGTACAGATGGCGAACCCGAAAGTCCACAATAGGCACGTCCCCTGATCATATGCGGGGAAGTAACGGCCGAAAAGGCCTTCCTCAACCGGGATGAGGGGAACCCGGGGACAGGTCCTAGTGCCTGGCCACTGCCGCACAGTGCAATCTTGGATGCGGGGACGTTTTCGAAACCTCCCGTGTTCTTCAAACGCAGTCCAGCAGCGAGCCGGGAGAGCCACGCCTGAGCCCCCTCTCCGCCATGAGGCCCACTTGGGGGCCAGTTCCTGCCTCTTGGCCCCCTCTCCTACCCCACACGGTGATCGGGATACAGTGGAGAGGAAGAGCACTTTGCAAGCTGCTGCCTCGACTTCTCTGCATGTGATCATAGCACCCCATCAGCTCGGCTGCACGGTGGGTGAGCCTTGCAAAGCGGGCGTTTCTTGGTCGCCCATCGGCTGTTGGGCTTTGCAGCCACGTTCTCAAGCAGCGTGCAATTAAATCATAGAATTAGCGCTGTGGTTTTAAAGAAACAAACATGAGAATGGATCAAATAGAGCGGAAACGGGGATATTGTAAAGTAAACAATTGCTTTCCCTTGATGAAAAGATTTTAACTGCTGGTTCAAGCAGACCGCCCTTCCCGCCGGCGGTGGGTTTCCAGGAGCAGCGAGTTCCTTCCGCACGGTCCGGTTTGTGGGATCTGTTGGCGGTGGGAGACCGTGACGCGGTGGCGGCGGATGGAGCTGTTTTTCGATCAGCCCCTTGAAAGTGCAGCGAGCAACTTGCTGAGGCGAGCGAGCAGAAATGCTGGGTGCAGAATAGGTTCCCGAGGTTCTTGAGTAACCACTGGGTGCGCTGCTGCCCTGCTGGACTGGTGCTGAGGGGGGGCCCCAGCGGTGCCGTCCTCGTTGCTCAGCGGTGGTGCCGGCTTCGCCCAAACGCAGCGCCGGAGCAGCGGCTGGCCTGTAGCCCGGCCGTCCCCGTTCCAGGTGGGTGTGCGACACACGTTGGTGTCGCTGGCATTCCTCCCGTTCACACATCTGAGGGAGGCACTTGTGGCGGGGCATCACACGCTGGATGCCGGTCGCTTCGGTGTCCTCTTCCGTTAAGGGTGTTGCTCGAACGTGGATTTAAAAAGCGAAGTCCGTGCTCAGGCGTCGCGCTGCGTTCTGTGCTCGCTGCTGGCCCAAGTCTGCCGTTTTCAGCACCGTGTGGCTCGGGAGGGGCCCTTTTGCCCACTCCTCTTTGACTCGAACAAGCACAGCTGAGAGTCGGTGATTGGTTTTGCGTAGGGGTACCTGGGCCTGGGGTCAGACTAGATGGCCCGGGAGACCCCTTCTGACTCGCTCTGTTTCTGTGTTTCTATGACTCGCCAGCTGCCTCAGGGTACATGTCCTGAAACAGTGTCCCTGCTCTTAAATAGCTTCTCCTCAGTTTTGACATGACTCGGAAATCCAATTAAACCATTTTGTCACCTTCTGTGTCCGAAATTCATCAGCGCAGCAATTAGGAGAAACATGTACTTTTGCACACGCTCCCTTTTCTAACAGAGGCCACGTTCCACGGTTTAAAACTAACGTTTTCAGAAGCACGTCATGGTTTTGGGGAACAGGCAATTAACCTTCCTTTTCCTGTGGGGGATCCCGCAAAGAGCTGTCAGCAGTGCAGCTGGGAGAGACCTGCCCAGTGACCTATAAGGCCGCAGAGTTCACAAACACACGCAACTGTGTCATCGCAGATTTGCTTTTCCGGATGAACCAGCTGTTTCCCAGCTTCCCCTGCAGTCCACGGGTGACCACCGAGTCTATTAGTCCGTGCCCCCGGTGCGTTGGGGTGCACAAAATGAGAGCGAGGACAAAGGGACCGCGCTGTATCTCCCGGGCAGGGGAGA